TTTCATTCATTTAAGATGATTTACTTATACATAGATCTAATAAAAAAACGTCTTATTACAATTTTAGTTTAAAAAAAAAACAACCAGAAAATGCAAATGTGTAACTAAATGATGATTCAAGGAGTTTTTTTTCCATCGGGGTGGTGGGCTGAGGGGTAGTGCTGAAATAAATTTGGGATTACAGAGAATTAAAATTACCCTAAACATTTTTTTTTTACAATGGAACATAATTTGAGTTTTAACTCGTTTTTAGCAAATTTTTAGCAATTTTTTTTACAAGGGTCCCATAAGTGTGACGCTAGCAGAATATGGGTTGGGGCTATGACTGTGGCTGGTTCTTGGGCTGGCTCGATTTCTGTTGCGTCGTCTGACACATATTTACTGTCGTCTATAAGTTGGTCATTATCGAAGTAGTTACCATCGTTGTCTAATGATATATTGTCCCTTTCCCTTACAAACGAACTTCGGCAGGCGGCTGGTCCGTGTTTGGTCGTTCCACACAGGAGGCATATAGATCTCTTACCGTTAAGTTGTAGTAACAAGGTGTGCGTTTCCCCACCGATCTCAAGATCAATGTAATGGGGTAAATTTCCCTAAACAGTTAGGGAGCTAAAATTAATTGGATTTTAATCAAACCACGCCATAAATAAAATTGAGAAATGCATTTTAAATAACATCTATACAAATCTAAAAAGTTAAGGTTTTATTTTTTAAATTTCTGCTGCATTTTAAAAGTACGTGTTAAACACAATAATATTAATAACAAATTTAAAATGCTCCTAAATATCTTACTTTTATTGAAAGTTAATATATATACATTAAAATTATGTACTACCACTTATTTATTTTTTAAGCTTCTTTTAAAAGTATCAGAATAATCAATAGAGTTCACTCCCTTGAAAATATATTTTTATTTTAATATTTTTCTAAAGCAAAGCAATTAAACATTTTACTATACGTGTACTGACCTACATCTACGACACGGATCTATATTAAATCACTGCTCTACATTCACCACACTGACCTACATCCACTACATCTACTAAATAGACCTACATCCAGTACACTGACCCACATCGACTACACTGACCTACATCCACAACAGTGACCTACATCCACCACACTAAACTACATTCACCACACTGACCTACGTCCACTACAATCACATTCATCAACCACACTCACCTACATCCACCACACTCACCTACATCCACCACACTCACCTACATCCACCACACTCACCTACATCCACCACACTCACCTACATCCACCACACTCATCTACATCCACCACACTCACCGACATCCACCACACTCACCTACATCCACTATACTCACCGACATCCACCACACTGACCTACATCCACTACACTCACCTACATCCACTACACTCACCTACATCCACTACACGCAACTTCATCCACTACACTCATCTACATCCACTACAATCACCTACATCCACCACACTCACCTACATCCACTACACTGACCTACATCCACTACAATCACCTACATCCACCACACTGACCTACATCCACTACACTGCCCTACATCCACAGCACTGACCTACATCCACTATAATCACCTACATCCACCACACTGACCTACATCCTCCACAATGACCTACATCCTCCACAATGACCTACATCCACCACACTGACCCACATCCACCACACTGACCTACATCCACCACACTGACCAACATCTACCACACTCACCTACATCCACCACACTGACCTACATCCACCACACTCACCGACATCCACCACACTCACCTACATCCACTATACTCACCGACATCCACCACACTCACCGACATCCACTACACTCACCTACATCCACTACACTGACCTACATCCACTACACTCACCTACATCCACCACACTCACCTACATCCACTACACTCACCTACATCCACTACACTGACCTACATCCACTACACTGACCTACATCCACCACACTCACCTACATCCACCACACTGACCTACATCCACTACAATCACCTACATCCACCACACTGACCTACATCCACTACACTGCCCTACATCCACAGCACTGACCTACATCCACTATAATCACCTACATCCACCACACTGACCTACATCCACTACACTGCCCTACATCCACCACACTGACCTACATCCACCACACTGACCTACATCCACCACACTGACCAACATCCACCACAATGACCTACATCTACCACACTGACCTACATCTATCACACTGACCTACATCCACCACACTGACCAACATCCACCACACTGACCAACATCCACCACAATGACCTACATCTACCACACTGACCTACATCTACCACACTGACCAAGATTCCCAGTCATGTATGCCTTGTTATCTAAATATGTGAATGATGTAACGTGAAAACACTAATAAAGTAAACAGAATAATGTTAGTTCATGTTGCCGTGAAAGTTTCTATGTTTTTATGTTTCGTTTAATTTCGTTTAAGTGGGTGGTGGAGGCTAATTCTCAGGTATTCTCCCCTGAACATCAAATAACAGATACACATTTTTATATTTAATACAAAAATCAAAATAATTACAGACAGGTCGTTGATTTTTTGTATCGTTTATTTTAAAGCTTTCTCGAGAAGGAATACACATTTCTAATGAAAATTCAATTAGCTTTAATACAACATTGTTGCTCCCTATTAACACCCCCCCCCCCCCCAAGCTAATTATTCTAACCGAGTAATAAGTCTGGACTGTTGTTATATTGTTATGTAATTACAGCTCTTGCTGCAACATTGACGACATTCCTGTGCTATGTATCTGTGTGACTCCATGGTTTGTAGATGTAGCCATAATGTCAGCTTCGTGTGATATACGAGTGACTTTCACAGCCATGCCTTTAGAGCTGTATAAATATTGATGCTACGTCAGCAACGTGCTAAAGCTTTTTTTTCTGAACTAGTACTAGATTTCCAATTATACTTTGCTTGATTGCTCCACTTTAAGAAAATATACCTTATTGCTCTATAACCGCGATCTACTTTTTGATAACCCTACTCCCTCCCCTGTTTCCCCCATCTCTGCTCCTCAGCCCCCCCCCCCACCCCAGTATTTCTCCTTCCAAAACTCCCCAGCAAGACAACTCTGGTGGATTTATACTTTTTACTTAAAACCCTCTGTGGAGGAAATCACACTTCAGTAGGACCCCCTTCCATATTACTAGTGCCGCTCCCCCTCCCCTATTACTAGTGCCGCCCCCCCCTCCCCTATTACTAGTGCCGCTCCCCCCTCCCCTATTACTAGTGCCGTCCCCCCCTCCCCTATTACTAGTGCCGTCCCCCCTCCCCTATTACTAGTGCCGCCCCCCCCCCCTCCCCTATTACTAGTGCCGCCCCACCCCTCCACTCCTGTTTCCCCCAACAATTACAATACTAAAAACTGACTTGGTTGTTTTTTTTCCGGAACCCAACACTGCGCATGCGCCATCGAGGAAAGGTGAAGGTGGATGATCAGCGATGTAGCGACTAAATAAACTAATTAAAATGCCGCGTGTAGCCTCGCTTTGATCTCTGACATTCCGTCGTGGGATACCAAAACAAACCTCTGCATGTAGGGATCTTGGGGGGGGGGGGGGGGTGTATTTTGTACGGCTCTCGGCTGTCAATCATTTTTAAATTTAATTTTTCTGAAAGTATACTCGTTTGTGGAACGGCCTGGCCTAGCGATAGAGCGCTAAACTGCAAACCCGAAAGTCTCGAGTTCGAATCCGAGTGCAACTCAGTAAAACGCCCATGAGTCCACCCCTCTCTGATGGGGACCTACCTCACGTTGAGTAATTAAAGGCGGCTGTGTATAGCGCTGACCACACTGTCCTTCATATCCCAAGGTGACAGAAATAGGTTGACCGTTAGGTTCGAAAAGGGAACTTTACTATAGCTCGTTTGAAAAAGTCATGCACATTTCTTTTATTAGACTTTTTTTTTTAGATTGAAATTAAAGTTAATATTTTAATATGTATTTTCATAATAAAAAGATCTCGCAAGCACTATTTTAGAAATCAGAATTTGTGTGTGTGGGGGGGGGGGGGGGGGGTGATGACGTAGTTCTTGAAAAAGGTGTGGCTCTGATTTGTGACCATTCGCTTCGAGAGGGATATATTACTTAAAAGAAGGGTTGAAAACCATGTGAGTTTTAAATTCAGAATATTTGATTGGTGAACTGGGGGTAGGGGGTGGAACTGGGGGTGGGTGATGTACTGATTAAACCTAGGGGGTGGGGGGGGGGGTGTTACAAGTTTTATGACAGGGATGACATAAGGGAAAATATGTTACACAATGTGACATCGAATATGGTAGACTGCCTTCATATGTGAGTTTTGGTCTTATATTATTAATTGATTGAACTGTTTTAACGGAATAAGCTCAAGCATTACTTTAGAAAGAAATAATTTTTAAAAAATAATGAATAAATGAACTAAAAAATGTGTCATAATGTTAAAGTTGAGATAAATATTGGGTTAAGATTGAGTCACGTTTAGATTAAGTGTTTGGTTATTTTATAGCTACAGATGGTTATGTTTTTTATTTGGCTTTTGGTTAGATTATAAATTTAGTTTTAAGCTAGAATATTAAATCGCAATCACTGGTAGGGTTAATGTAAGTGTTTACTTGAACTAAAGAAAGATTTAAATGATATTTGATTTTCATTCAACTTGGGATTGAAGTTTATTGTTAGTGTCAGGTGTTCGTGATTTTCCATATTCCAGGCAACGACGGGTATTTCAGCTAGTAAAACATCATCTTTCTCAAACTGCATTCATGCCTTAAATAAAACTTTCAACCATATATTGTAACTATTTTCTAAGATTGCATGAATATTTTAAATAAACCTTTCTACCATATAGTGTTACTTTAGTGTAATAATACACTAATGCTTAAAGTAAACCTTGCTACTATATATTACAACTACTTTCTAATATTGCACTTATGTCTTAAATATACCTCACCACTAAATATTGTTACATCTTCCAGTTGAAAGCCCCCAAAGACAAGCCCGTGAAGAAATTGATCCTAACGCGGAGTTATACTTAGACGAAAAACGGGTGATTAGCCATTAACTAGCGCGGGCCGCATTAGACGGACTTTATGGATTTTTGGCCGGCTTGCTAGTAACTGGGAAATACATACAGGAATTATTTGACTACATCGGTAGCTCGGTCAGGGGAGACGATTCAACACAAGGGAGGTAACGAGGGTAAGTCGATTTTTTTTTTCGCTGGTGATTGTCTGTTGGTGCGGTGGGTTGGTGTTTGGTGTCTAGAAGAGATGGGATGTTTAGTTAAGGGATGTGAAATGTAGATGTCATATAATATCTACTGAGGAAATGACATCTATGGGAGAAATAACGGAAGAAAAACGACATTTGGAAGAAATATAAATAAAATAAAACTGATATGACAGGATTACAATGGTGTGAATATTAACTAAAATTACATTTAGATGAGAAACTTTTCGCCAATAAACTCGAATGACATCTGGTTATAAAATGACTTCTCGTGATCAAATGACACATTTGATTCATACTACATATCATAGAGAAATCACATTTAAAAGAGATGGAATATACAGTTGCAAAATGTCATTTAAAAAAGATGGAATATACAGTTGCAAAATGTCATTTGAAAATAAAAATGACATTTAGACAAAACATGGCGTCTAGAAAAATACATAGTTATTTTGAGAACGCCGCCATAGCTATACGGTATTTCATCAACTTTAACCTCTATCAGAATGGATGATAGCTTAATTAAGATTTAGACACACTGTTGGTCAGGATTAACGTTAATGAAGTAAGAGGGTTGGGATACTATGAAATCTAGCATTTGTTTCACCGGTACTTGTAGTTGTAACAAACTGACTTGCGTAAATGACACATGTACGTAAATTGACATATACACGATAAATAATTTAGTATAAACTGTATCAATGAAAGAAATAATATACAGTAAATAAATGAAATCTATATATACATAACATTTAGATTGTGATATTTAAGTGAATCTCCACACGTAAATGTTGATTCTGTCTTGCAAGTCACACTCTACAAATGTGATTGTTGATAGTAGTTGTTGATGCGTATGTTGATTCTTTGCTAATTAGTTACACCTCAATGATTCAGTTGTAGAAGTTACGAAACTCAACAATTGTTTGTTGAAAATGTATGTGATGAGTTAATTACCTGCCAATTTGTTGCACGTAAATGTTGATTCAGTAGAAGTCGCGAAACACAACATTCGATTGTTGAAAGTTGTTTGTTGTTGATGCGGTGAGTTGCTTGTCTGATGTTTGCAGTCACGCGCGAACACAGTGAGTACACGAGCGTGAGTAAACAGCGATGTAATATCTCAACAGGGCGGGGGGTATCTGGTGTGAGTGATTTTACAGGTGAGCTGGTGACGTATGTCAGTTGATAGATTCTAGGTGGGCTAGCATTGTTCGCTTCAGTAATTGGGCTATAGTAAGTGGGGCTGCAGTCATTGGAACTGTAGTAATAGGGGCCACAGTAATAGGGGCTATATTAATTGGGCTACAGAAAGTGGAGCTATAGTCATTGGAGCTGTAGTTATTGGACTGTAGTTATTGGGCTAAATTAAGTGGGGGCTAAAGTAATTGGGCTGTAGTGATTGAGCTATAATTGTGGGTCTTTAGAAGTTGGGTTCTAATTATTGGTTTTTAAAATAATTGGAATCTAATCCAGGTTCAAGGGAGATAAATGACAGTTTGACTAATACATGAAGATTGTATTAGGTGGACGGTAAAGCGCTAGAGTGCTAACCCGAAAGTCTCGAGTTCGAATCCGGGTTCAAGTGAATAGAACTTCCCAACTCTAATGGGTATCAAACTCACGTTTGGGAAAGTAAAGGTGGCTGGGCATAATGCTGACTACACTATACCTTCATATGCCTAGGTCACAGAAACAGGTAAACTCTACTTCTCCTGCCGCATGAACCTAAAGGGTCGAAAGGGTACTTTACTTAACATGTGATTAAAATGTAGGTACTCTAAAATAGTATGATTAAATGTAATGACTAAGAACACTACTCAAATAAAATGCAGTGCTAAAATATTTTAAATAGTTCAAATCGATAACACACAAACGCCAACACATTGTGATATTTGCTGGAGCGAAGCTATTTAATTCTGCTTCAACTCACGATTTCAACCCACGCTCTACAACACAAACCCTCACCATAAAGATTTGTACAACCACAGTTGAGCTGCGGTGAGACTAACACACCAATCGATGGCAACAAAGGGTGTATTGATGAATGGATTTAACGCGTACAAACACCAGTGTAGGAACGAATCCAAGTGGGAACGAACCGTAAAGTTTTTTCTTGCCATCTGTTGTCGGATAACAGCCTAGTCGCAATGTGTGCCCAACATTCTAAGTTTTGTATTGATTTAAGCGTGAGGGCTGTTTGTTGTCATTACTTTGATATTTTAACAAGACACGCATCTGTCTGTTTAATGGATCTGAGCGCCTTTATTTGGGTATATCCAGTTCAGTGATTCTTAACCTGGGTTCGATCGAACCCAAGGGATTCGGTGAGTCTGTCTCAGGGGTTCGGTCAAGACACACACCGATACATATGATTCACAATCGGATTTTATCAGCGCAGACGATTGAACTATCAGAAGGGTTTGGTGAATTCCAATATAAAACTGGTGGGGTTCAGAGGCGTAGCGACCCTTCCCGGCGCCCGGGACAAATTTTCAATTTGGCGCCCCCTCGGGAGTAAATGTGCACCCCCCTCAAACGTTCGATTTGCACCCCCCCCCCCCCCCCCTCAACTTTTCGATTTGCACCCCCCCCCCCTCAAACTGCACAAATGTAGCTAAAATGACATTTTAATTTATTTTTACACCCATTTTGGCGCCCCCTAAGGTCGGCGCCCGGGGACATATGTCTCCCCCCCTGCCCCCCCCCATCGCTACGCCTCTGGTGGGGTTCGGTACAACCAAAAAAGTTAAGAACTAGCGATCCAGTTCTTAAAGTTGTGTTTGTGTTGTGGATAAGTTTTTATTTCAATGTTGATATTGGTTGGTAAAATTCAGATTTTTGGTTTGTATCTAAACCCCGCTGGACAGTTTTTGGTCGGTTCTTTTTTTTATCAGCCAAAATCACTATTAGGGTCAGGGTTAGTATTTGCATTAAAAGGAGAGCTAAGAATAGAAAAAGGGCTATTATCAGATTTAGGGAAAAACTACCACAAACATAGCACAGCAGCGAATACATCACACAACGGTAAATATTAAACTCGAACGACAAATACTATAGCATTTTAACGGATGGAAAAAAACTACCACAAAAAACTTAGACGGATGTAGAAATAGATAACACTACATTGTGGCAGAACTCTATTTAAAATTTTACCATCTAAATCCTTATTTATCTTTAGATTTACTATCTAAATCCTAATTTATCTTTAGCTAAGGTTAAATTGACAAAAAAAATCTGGCATCTACAAAAAAAGTAGAAAAAACACAGGTTATCAATAGCATCGCTCATTTTCACACAACAGCTGCGAAGGCGTTCGTCCCCAGAGACATTTCTTAAACCAATCGTTCGTAAAACGAAACATTCGTTACTTGGATTTGGGAAGCGAAGCCACCTAGAAATTGTGTTTATTAATACGTATGTCCACGTTTTCTGATAACTATAAAAACATTTTCCAAAGTATGTTATGTAATATTTATTTTAAAATTTAAACTTGAATTTCCTGATCAGTGTATGTTGTAGGATTACATTTAAAATGCAACAAATCCAAACAAACACGACATTAAAAAAAAAAATTTAAAAAAAACTCCCCGATGTTCGTCTGGAAGATTCCACGACCCCCATCTATCTTCACTGCCGCAGTTCCTGCTGATGGGGCTACTCACGGCTGATATCAATACACGTCACGTGCGCGTGTAGAGCTCACCCCATTCTTCACTGTGACTCGTCTGGTCTAATTTTAGCTGGTGAGCTCAAGGTAGGCACACGAATTAAAGTTAACAAAATAATGAGCTTAGCTGGTGAGCTCAAGGTAGGCACACAAATTAAAGTTAACAAAATAATGAGCTTAAGTTGTAAGCCCAAGGCACGCACACAAATTAAAGTTAACAAAATAATGAGCTTAAGTTGTGAGCTCAAGGCAGGCACACAAATTAAAGTTAACAAAATAATGAGCTTAAGTTGTGAGCTCAAGGCAGGCACACGAGTTAAAGTTAACAAAATAATGAGCTTAGCTGGTGAGCTCAAGGCAGGCACACAAATTAAAGTTAACAAAATAATGAGCTTAAGTTGTGAGCTCAAGGCAGGCACACGAATTAAAGTTAACAAAATAATGAGCTTAGCTGGTGAGCTAAAGGTAGGCACACAAATTAAAGTTAACAAAATAATGAGCTTAGCTGGTGAGCTCAAGGTAGGCACACAAATTAAAGTTAACAAAATAATGAGCTTAAGTTGTGAGCTCAAGGCAGGCACACGAGTTAAAGTTAACAAAATAATGAGCTTAGCTGGTGAGCTCAAGGCAGGCACACAAATTAAAGTTAACAAAATAATGAGCTTAAGTTGTGAGCTCAAGGCAGGCACACGAATTAAAGTTAACAAAATAATGAGCTTAGCTGGTGAGCTAAAGGTAGGCACACAAATTAAAGGTAACAAAATAATGAGCTTAAGTTGTAAGCCCAAGGCACGCACACAAATTAAAGTTAACAAAATAATGAGCTTAAGTTGTGAGCTCAAGGCAGGCACACAAATTAAAGTTAACAAAATAATGAGCTTAAGTTGTGAGCTCAAGGCAGGCACACGAATTAAAGTTAACAAAATAATGAGCTTAGCTGGTGAGCTCAAGGCAGGCACACAAATTAAAGTTAACAAAATAATGAGCTTAAGTTGTGAGCTCAAGGCAGGCACACTAATTAAAGTCAACAAAATAATGAGCTTAGCTGTGAGCTCAAGGTAGGCACACGAATTAAAGTTAACAAAATAATGAGCTTAGCTGGTGAGCTAAAGGTAGGCACACAAATTAAAGTTAACAAAATAATGAGCTTAGCTGGTGAGCTCAAGGTAGACACACACATTAAAGTTAACAAAATAATGAGTTTAGCTGGTGAGCTCAAGGTAGGCACACGAATTAAAGTTAACAAAATAATGAGCTTAGCTGGTGAGCTAAAGGTAGGCACACAAATTAAAGTTAACAAAAT